AGGTGAAATCGACGGTGAGTGGGAGAGAAGGCGGGGTTGGGGGACGACCCCTGCCAGTTCGATTTAGAGGGTGCCAGATATGTCAAAAATCATCTTATTTATGGCATGACATGGCACTGCGGGATAACTCCTCTTCCCTCCCACCCAAAGGGAGGCGAAGGGAGCAGAAGTGATAAAGTTTAGTTGGTAATTGATTTGGTTACACTCCCAAAAAAAAGGTATTACGAGTGGTTGATGATGCGACACACACCCACGCACTCGCGCACTGAACGCATGCATTTCACAGTCGGTTTGACCTGTTTTCGTCTTCTACAAAGAAGCGATAAGACCCCAGGCTCTAAGACGATCTGCAGATGAGCTTTCTTCACAAACATGAGTCAGGCCGACAAAAAATACGTACTCAAGGCCGAGCAGACAAGCTCAGTACGACCTAACTACTAAATGTGAGCGTCCGACAACGAGTCGGAAAGCCGAATGTAAATTAGGGAAGGAGGCGGTTAACGCAAAAAAGCAAATTTGACATGACGGGAAATAGTTGGATTTTGGAAAAAAGTGTCCCGGGAACAATGTAAGAGGTTGAGGAAAAATGTGATCCCAAAAGCGCTTAACCAACTGGCTTCTAAGCTGGCAGGCAGAGATGCGGCAAGTGCAGACAGCTAATCATATTTCAGTTTGCAATCCCTTTTTTCGCAAACCAATGCGCCCGTAAGAGACAATTAGGTTTCCTTCGCCGGAAACTACAGCGCACACGTATCCGAGATTAGAATGCTGAGGTGGCAGCCTTGGGGTGGCGTGACAGGGTTGCTTGGCACAGGGGCTCGCAAATAAAGATGACAGGAAAAAAATAACAGGGGAAGTCAGAAAGCCTACAACAATCGAAGTGGTAGTCCCTGAGACAAAAAATTCCCATTTGATGGAAAAAAATAGCCCGATGAAACGAGCGCACGGAGCTGTATAAAAGAGCCAAACCCGAGCAGAAAGAAATTTTTAGCGATGATAAAGACGAAAATGAAGGGATGTTTGTATCTACGTTTCAGTTTCCATAATAATGGTAGTTGGGGCAAATTCACGAAAGTGGTCTCCTATCCGCTGGTAAAAACAGAATAAAATGTTGTCTTTAGACGATTTTAGCGTCTAACAAGATTTTTTAAGCGGCTACTGCACACAACCTCACACCTCAGGAGAGTCTAAGGCACCTACGAGCCTGCCCACCAAGAACGGTCATATGTATCACCTTATAGTTTGCAGCAAAATTGAACTGTAGAGAGAAAGACGCGAAATGCACGAAGTTCATTCTTCGCACATAGCGACAAGACAGGGTAGAGACAACTGGGAATAAAAATGGATGTGGTTGAACAGGACTCCGACCACATTCT